CTAGTGACTTCCTGCCTATTCTAACCTGCAGCTTTGGGGGTTATTTGGCTTTAACAGATGAGTCACTTACACAGCTGAGGAAATCTTCCTATACACAGTGAACCAAGATGGGTGGAGGGGAAAAGTGCATTGAGTTTTGTTTCCTTGGGCAATTTGGTTACTAGATTTTATAGAATTCTATGGAAATTTTTACATCCTCTAACCACGGCCTTAGCCACTGCCTACGAAAGTATCAGGCTCAAGAAAGGCCTCACGTTAGATGAGATAGTATCCTGAGGACCGAAGAGAGACCACCTACAGAAAAAGTTAAATCTGGAGATAATAGGAAACAGTGAGGGACCCCAGCTGGAGAAAGTGAATCAGGGAAACATCGTGGGGGTAATTCTGGCTCAATAGCAGTGATAAAGCAGCAAACCATTCTTTACTGCTAAAGGGCCTTCCCTGACCTATAATCTCCTCTGCCCCAGTTATGTGGTCACTCAGCTAAGTGACCAAATTTATTCTATTCAAAGAAGAAAGCCAGGGCAGACACTACCCCACAGCTGTGTTCTCAGCCCTCCCTTAGGGTTTCTGAGAACACTCTTGGGGAACTGTGTTTTCTTTTTGGCCAAAAGCCACCTGAGTGGCTGGAGAGGCATCTTGTCTCAAATATAGGTCCGTCTCTAGGGAGGGGCTACAATATCTATGTTCCAAACAATTTTGGACGCTACCCCTTTTGAATGCACCAAAGAGGTAGCATCCGAATGATAAGACCTAATTATTTTTAGTAGCATCACATTTCCATTCATGTAAATATTTTATTTTCCCAATCATAATTGCTTTTCTTTTATGGATAGGGGCATGAAGAATGAGTTATATTTCAGTTCCTTCTTTAATTAGTTTCAGGCCTGTAATGTTCACCAGTTGGGAGAGAATATCCAGAAGGGCTGGCTGACTGGCCAGCCTCTAGCAATGCTTGAAAAGGCAGGTAAATCCTGAGTCAGCAAATGGAAAAAGAAAGCAAATTCAGTTTTTCAACAAGGTCACATTTCCAAGCAGTATTTGGCATGTAACATCAAGTACTGAATTGGTACTAGGCAGATGGATCTAAGCAATTGATATTAGTAAGTTAACAGGTAAACAGAATAATATTTACCTTCATTTTAAAAGAAGGTATTTAACCGCATTTCTCACTTGTAAGTGGGAGGTAAACATTGGACACACACATAAAGATGAGAACAACAGACACTGGGGACTCCCAAAAGTGGGGAGAGAGAACTCCCAAAAGAGTTGAAAAACTGCCTCCTGGATGCTATGTTCACTACTTGGGAGACAGGCTAAGCAGAAGCCCAAGCTTTAGCATCACACAATATATCCATGTAACAAACTTGCACACGTACCCCTTGAATCGAAAATTTAAAAAATGAAAAGGTATTTAAAAAATAAACAGGTATTTAAAAAATAAAGTCTCCATTTCTGCAATCCTCTTGAGCTATCAGTATAAAACAGCGCTTTGACAAACTCACATTAAAGGCCAATAACTACCATGAATACAAGACTTAGTTCTCATTTATTTGTGATTTTGCAGGTGTTCAAACCAATGAATGAAAATCAATGATCTCTTCATATCAATGAAATTTGCTACTCCACTATTATCTTCAGAATCATAGTAATCAAAATGCTACCTGAAAATGGTAATACAAAAGAGAACTATTAATACAAGGTTTCAGAAGACTGTGTAAGTTAAAATAATTGGCATTCAAAAAACACACAACAAACCACCAAAGGGTTTGGCCCCTTTTCTCTCTCTGATATGTGGCCTCTGATCTCTTAGGGCAGTGGTTTTCAACGTCCGTGTAGCAGAATCACCCGAAAAGCTAACAGAACATATAGAAACCCAGGATTTGTATTTAAATGTAAATACAAAAGGCCTGGGTCTCTGTATCTTTACCAAGTTCTCCAGGAATGGTTTTCAAACAAGGCTAATCACAATCACCAGGGAAGCTTTGAAAACAACACATTCCTAGGCTTCATCCCTAGAAATTCTGATTCAGTAGGTTTGAGGTTGGGACCCAAAAATCTTTTTTTTTTTTTTTT